CATCAGCCAATTCTTTCACTCATTTCGCATCATCTTTGGTCTTGTATGCCATCCTTCCTAACAATTTCTAGGTAAGCCAGAAGGTGATAGATGTGATTAGGTAAGTGATTAATACTATCTTTGGGGATGCTTTCTTCAATATTTTTTCTTTTTTAAACTCAGATTTATTGGGATATATTTATATAGAATAAAATTCACCTTTTTAGTGTATATTTATGAATTATTTTTCTGCTTTTAATCTTTTTATTTTAAAAAATGTATGCCACCATATGATAAAGTAAAAAAGAATTTCCTGACAGTTTGCTCCGAATCTAACAGGACTAAGATCATAAGAAATCAGACACTTGCTGCAGCTATATTCCCTGTCCCACAGCTGAATTATCTGTGGTAGTATTTCTTGTGTTATTGCCTGTGAGCCAAGGAAGGCAGTTTTTTAGTGTGTGAAGGATTAAAGATGCTATTCTATGTGATGATGCACAACATGATTTAAAGAGATTTTTATAGCAAATAAGCCCATTATGAATCAAGTGTGAGATGTCATCATTCTTAAAAAGATGGTAGATTCTTAGGAAGTACTTTTGTACAGAGCAAAGAAATAATAGCACTATGTACAACTGGAGGTCTTATCAAGTATGCTGTATTAAATCCTATGCATTCTATTTTAAGTAGGGCATGTTGCCCAGATAAGTTGTTTTTGATATAGAATACTATAGAATGACAATATTTTCTTGCCAACTAAATTTGATAATGAAAATAAAGCTAATACTGAATGGTTGTTATATACGACACCATGCCAAGTACTTTACACATATTCTCTTAATTAATGCTGACAAGATTCCTATGAAGCAGGGATTATTATTACCCCCCATTTTACAAAGGAAGAGAAACAATCTTCCTGAGACTAAGTAACTACTAGCCCAGGGTCACTCAGCTGGCAATAGTTGAGTCACAATTTGAAGCCACCTTACTTGTATTTTTGATCACTGGGCTTCACACTTCATCAAATACCAGGAAACCCACCTTGGAGAAAAGCTAAAGTCTTTGTGGGTTTGACAGAGTCTGGGGGGGGGGGGCGTCCAGCCTCTCCCAATAGGGGCATTACTATCATGGTAACTACCAACTTCTATCCCTCATTAGAAAATGGAAGATCAAATACAGATACGATGAAAAAATTTTTCAATTACTCAAAAAGTACCTGTTACCTTAATTATATATATATATATATATATATATATATATATATATATATATATCACATATATATATAAAAAATCATAATGACCCTTAAGCTCAACAAAGTGATATCTATATCTCTATATCTAATTTAACAACTAAGAACAATATGGCATGTCTTGTATGGAAAATCTGAGATGCATCTCAGAAAGTACTTTTTGTGGAAGGGTCCTGAGTAAAAATCCCATAGGTTGGTTAATGTTCATAAAATCACAAAACATTATTTCTCAAAATGTTATCCGCCAGCCGTTTGGCATCAGTATCACCTGCAACACCAACTTTTTAAATCACAGATGTCTGCTGATCGACTGAAAGTATCTAGAGGTGATTCCTAAGTCTCTTCAGGTATATTAAGATCTGGCATGTGAGAACATGAATTAGTCCTTATTGCTCCAGACTTAGAACTGGGACAAATAGTAAGTGGTAATGGAAGGTAGTTTGAGCTCAGAAGGAGGGAATCCTGTAGCAATTATAGCAAACCCCAGAATGGATTAAAAAACAAAAAAACCTTTGAAGATTTCTGTTGTGGAACTACTCAAACAGTTAGGATGTCAAGAATGTTGTAGGAGAAATACTTGCATTGAGAGAATATTTGACCTCCAAGATTCCTTTGAGACAGGATTCTCCATCTTTCTTTTCCGTGCAGTATGCTAAGCCAGTGAGTAGTGAGAAATCTGTATTTCCCATTTTCTCCCCTTTGGCTAGCAATATGAAATTACAGTCGTGCCTATGTTTTAGCTTAGATAAGTAAAAATAAAGAAATTTAGAGCTGCATTCCCACAGGCACATTGCAAAGGTTAATATGTATTGCTTTAATTCTATACATTTCCAAGACTACTTGCCTATTACTCCCTCTTGCCTCTTACATCTTCCAACCCAAATTTCTCAAGTGTTAATGTGTACCATAGTGCTCTAACACTTGATCATACTTTCTCAGTCTGCTTAGCCCTCTTCAGAGTAACCCTTCATCCCTATCTTCTGGCTTTCCTGTGTTTTTTGTTTTTTCCCTTCAACATTCATTGAGGAAACACTTATTGTACATCTACTCTATGCCAATACTTTATGAGATATTGAAAATAAAATCCCTATCTTTGGAGAAATTCAAGTTTCAGAATGTTAGTGGGTAGTACTGTAGAGTTAAAAAAGCAAGTATAACAAACTGTGTTAAGTATAAGGATTGCCCAGGTGCTGTGCACATTAAGATAATAGCACCAGATGAAGCCTTACGCTTGAGGCTGCCTTCAGATAGGAGGCGATTTTTTTTTTAAAGCTGTCTTGAAGGAAGAATAGAAGTTTACTATTTGAACGAAGGAAGAGGAGGATCATTCTATACATAAATAACAGAAGACTGTTATTGACATTGTTATTAAAGAAGTTCCCACCCGGCCAGTGTTGCTCAGTGGTTGAGCATCAACCCATTCTCGAAGAGGTCCTGCTGGTTTGATTCCGGTCGGGGCACATGCCCAGATTGTGGGCAAAATCCCCAGTCGGGGGCATACAGGAGGCGACCAGTCGAGGTTCTCTTTCATCAATGTTTCTGTTTCTCTCCCTCTCCCTTCCTCTCTCTCTCAAATCAATAAAGAAAAAAAATTTTTTTTAAGTTCCCTAGTTAATCCTACCATATATTCATTCCTCTCCCCCACCCCCCCGCCATTACATAATTAAGGATGGGGTTTGTGAGGGGATCTGTTTTCAGGAAGGAAGTAGTATACAGGAGGCCAAAAAAGGTAAGTGGCAAAGTAAAGGGAGGAATCCCCAAAAGTGGAGCAGATTTGAGAGCCAGAGTAAGTTAGATAGATTATAGGAGGTAAAATTTCCATTAAAATAGTGGGGAGTGGGAGGGCATCTGACAGTGTGGTCATTGTCCTCTGTATGCATCTGGGCTTATTGACCAACAAGGAGAGACTGTTTGCCTTCTTTTTTTTTTTTTTTATCCTCACCCGAGGACATTTTTTCCATTTTTTTGTTCAGGTAGAGTGGGAGAGAGAGAGAGGAAGAGAGAGAGAGAGAGAAACATCGATGTGAAGGGACACATCGAGTGGCTGCCACCCGCACAACCAACCATGGCCGGGGACAAACTGCAACCGAGGTACGTGCCCTCAGCGGGAACCGAACCCGGGTCTCTCCAGACCGCAGGCCGACGCTCCAACCACTGAGCCAAACCGGCCAGGGCTAGTTTTTATTTTAAAAATTAAATGGAAGGTTATTTTAAATAGTAAATATCCCACTTCCTTAGTTCATCTGAATTATGAATCAATTTTTAAAATATACTTTATTTGTAACCTCTTCTAAAGCATAATTATTACATGCATTTATATAGTTTGTTATATTTTGATAAAAGTAACATCTTTTTGTTTGTGCTGCTAATTCTAAATCCAAATTACTAAAATTTATTTGATTTCCCTTTAATTTTAATTATTTCCTAAGATCTTTTCATAGGGAAAACTGCCTGCTGTTATTATATGTATTAGAATGATAGTAGTTAGTTTCTTTTGATAAGTAGCTTAGCGTGGCATATTGTAGTCAGCAAACTATAGCCCATGGGTTAAATTTAGCTTGCCACCTATTTTGGTATGACTTATAAATTGAGAACAGGTTATTAATGTTTTAATGGTTGGAAAAATATCAAAAGAGTAATATTTTATGACACACAAAAAGTACATTTAGGCTTATATTTAGGTTTTATAAAGCCTTCTATAAAATGTAGTCCAATCATATTCCAGCTGAAACATTATAGTATCAAGAATATTAGTCGACATATAAGACTAAGCTGCAAATTGATGAAGTTCTTTTTTTCAAAGCTGTATATCTAGGTGGTAACAATTCAGAACTTTGTGAGCCATTTTTTTCTGATTTTAAATTGAGTATTCTTTCTACTGTATCATCTGGCATCTTTATTTTAAAATAAAGTTCCTAGTTGTAAAAAAAATGACTCATTAGAAAGTATAAATTAATTGGTAGTATCAATTTGAGTCTTAAAGTATTAACTGACAGAAAATATTTCTAACATGATTTCCCATACTGAATTTCTATGATAATATGCATTCCAGTTAAGTATCTTTTATGAGATGCCCAGTGTAAAATTTTTACTAACATAAATAATGAGTAATGTTTTTCAGTACATTGCAGAAATGGTCTTGGTTTATTCAAACATTTTCTGATAGCTCGATTTATAATAATTAAATTTATTTTAAAATATTTTGTATTTTGAAGATTTTCTTATCTACTGAATTTAACATTATATTGTTTAATAGTGAAGTGATTTCACTTACCATAGGCATGGTAAAGTTTTCTTGACAACCTCATATACATCTATAATAGAATTTTCTTTATTTAAAAAATGTTGGCAAAGTTAATCAGTTTTTACACTTATCATTATTTATGATATGACCTAATACATCTATTGTAATACTTTTTTAACTATTAGATTTATCTAAAATTGATTTTTAGTTCTTTCCAAATTAAATAAGATATCACTCATACTACATGTGGGAAAAAACTATATAAAGATACACTTAAATATTTACTGTAAGAACAATTACTTTTCTCATGTTTCTGTTTGCATATTAAATATTTACCACTGAGTGGCAATGAACTAACATTGAACAATATTTCAGTTGAACAATATTTCTGCTTCTATACATGCTCATTAAATGTAATGTTTATTAGGATTTTAATAATTATACTGTAAGACATACTGTTCCCCTACACTTCTCTTTAATTTTATATAATTAACAACTACCTTTTTCCTTTTTCTGTTGTTTCAGTTAAAGGATCAAGAAAGTTAAGTCTGCCAACAGATCTTAAGGCTGATCTTGGTACGGTAGGCAAAAGCCAACAACTTTAAGTTTTCTTACATTCATTTGGCTGAACAGTTTTACCAACCAGTCCATGAATAACACAAGTTTCCCTGATGGCAGTGTTTGATGTCTTTCCAAAAAGGCTTTCTAAAAATCACCATACAGTTCTGTTGGCAGCATTCAACATTTTGTTTAATAATCATTTTTCAAAATTATGTTTTATAAATCATTATGCACCAAGGTATATAATGTTTCATTTTCTTTTTTATCATGAAAATGATTTTAAACATTGAATAGTCACGCATATGGGTCCTCTGTGACCTTTGTCATGTAAATGAGCATCTTTTTTTTTTTTTTCTGGGATTGTTTTTTCTATTTTTATATTGGTATCATTTAGAAGTAATGCTACCTAAAAAAATTGATATATAAAAGAATGGATCTTTGGTCATTTTTTTATTCTAGGGAAGTTATAGAAAATTTGATTCACTTTTAATTTATTTTTTGTGGTGGTCACAGCCTTATTCATGATACTAATTCTGAAATAAATAAGGCTTTATTAAATAGGATTTCATGTATCTTTTGTTTCAGAACTTTTATCTGCTTGTTCCAGCATGGCTTTTCTTTTTTGAAATTTAATCGAATTACCTTTTATTCATCTTCTTTATTCTGACTTAAAGCCATAGTGTTAAATCCTACTGATGTCATGGTTAAAATAACAAAAATACAATACTTGGTCTTTGCACTATTCTTAAGAATTTACAAAGCTGTTTCACATATGCTGTTAATAAATGGTAGATTGAGGATTTAAATCTAGATCACAGAATATGATACCCAAAGTTTATGGAGCATAGTCACATACTTCATCTCATTGTATCTAAATTAAATAACTGTAAGAGAAATAGTTCATTAAATTTAAAATCTAATTACATAAAAATCTTCCATGAATTTGATTAAAATAGGTATTTTTGAAATGCAAAGTTCTGATGTAGTATACTAATTATTATTAGCTCAATAATATTCTCATTAGTTTAATAAATTATGAAGTCAATTAGTAATTTTACTACTATAATTGACATCAAGGGAAGAATCAACATTATAGTTTCATTTATTGACCTCCTACTACGTGTTAGACACTATGCTATCTGATACATGCATATTATCTGAGATAAGGTAGGTGATATTGTTCCCACTTTACAAATGAATAAGTTCAGGCTATGGAAAATTCAAATTTCCCTATATCCACAAAGCAAGTAGCAAAACTGAATTTAAATCAAGTATCATTGCAAAGCTTATGTTCTTATAATTACCTATCATTTTGTGTAGCATGTACGGTGACACATGTTCAGTGAAGGCTATTTAAAGAATGATAACACTTTTCTCTAGGAAAATATGCATTCCGGTAGTCACATAATTTCCACAATGATAATATTTTTTTCTAGAATGTTGAAAAAGAAGAATAAAAAAGAAAGAAAATTTCCAGCCCATTTTTATATTTTTAGAAGTAGCAAAGAAATCTTAGTTATAATTCTAATCTGAAGATAAGTTAGGCATGGTTATTAACAAATATAATAAAAAATTTCTACCAATGTCTGTCTTTCTAAGTCTCCAATTATCTCCCTCCCAACTGCTTCATTCTCATTATTTTCATACATACTTTAAGCAAAGACAAATTATGAAAACTCAGATATATATATAAAATATTAAAAGTCAAGTGCTTGTTACTTTACTAAAGGATATTTTGCACTTAAAAGGATTCACAATAAAATTTTATTAAATCACTTTCTCTAAATATGTAATCAATTAATTTCATTTTTAAAACTCGTTTCCCACAAGTTTCCACACACACACACACAAAATTATAAGGCTTCTAAAAGAAGATAAATGTCTGTCTGTACGTAAATTCTTCTAATGTAAAACCTTGGTGTAATATAAACCTTAGGTTGCTTGCAAAGTGCTTTAGAAAGACATATAATCCATTAATGAAGGAGGAAGATGTTTAAGACTTGCAGTAGGCCAAATAAGGGCCTGAAGTAGAATAACAACAATGAAAATTAACAGGAGGAGAGAAGAATTGCCATGGGAGACTTTATAACTGATGGAACTGGGAACAGTGAGGGAGGAGGGCATAAGGGAAATCAAGGATGACTACAGTGTTGAGCATAGCTCTTTTAGAGAATACCTAATTTGAAAGGAAAGGAAAATAAGTTTAAATTGCTATAGGGACATCCATGTTAGCCATTTAGTGAGCAATTAGAAATGTAGGGATGCAGTGTAGGGGGGGATCTCAAGCCCAAATTAATAAATAACATTAATCTATCTAAAGGTATTAGTGACTGTATATGAGCTGTTCATAAAGAAAAACACTGATACTAATACAACTTTTTTGTTACAACAATCCTTAATAGCAATAGTGTAACAGTAACAAAATAATAGTAATAACATTAACAACCTCATACATTGGTCACTTATGCAGTTAGAACCCATAAGTAGTTAGAATTTTATAAAGTGATTGCCAGATTCATGAGAAGTTACTTTATAACTAATATTTTTATATGTAGAGAAAAATTATCTTTTCATTTTTAATAAAATATACAGACATTTCTCTTTCCTAATAAACTAGATTTTGAATTTTTAAAAAAACTAAAAATGAATTAATTTTATAGAATTGAAGCCTTGCTGGCACTTAAAATTGTGACTATATTGTTACATATGCATCATGGAATATTATAAATGAAACATAGATCCCCATGAGGTCTGAAAACCAAAAATCTATAGGATAATACTCAGCTAATGAACAGATGCATGGAGAAGCCATGGTTAAAGGACAAGTAGTGAGTATTTAATCTACTTAATTGTAGAACTGAAATTAAACACTGACAAATATGATTATAAAATATAATATAAACTTAAAATCAATAACAATATAGAAATAGTAGTGTGATTTTAAAATTGAAAGATGAAAGGTAACAAGGAGGTCAAAGTTGCCAACAAAAGATTTAATGATTCTGTAGCTAAATTTGGTGGTCAATTGGTGGTGAGTTAAGAACAAAGACAAAGGAAGAGAGATTATACTAATTTTACCTTTTATGAGATGAAAAGAATTAATACTATGCATAGATAATAATTCAAGAAGAATTAAGAATGTATCCTCAAGGTAACTACTTGAAAAAAAATTTAAATACCCCAGAACCTCAAAACTTAGGCAAAGGAAAAATACATACAAAATAAGAAAATACAAACCATATAGTGTAAGTAGCTACAGGAAGCATAAAAAAGGAAAAGGAGAAATAACCTATTGTAAAAGTGGCAGAACAGAACAGAGTCTGTTCATGTTGACTGATCAGAGTCTTCAGATTCTCTACTCTGAGTCTGTCATGGCTACCCTGACCCCAGATTTCTACCTTTGGGAAACACGAAGAATATTGTCCCTGCAAGAATTTTTACTAGACCCAGTCACTTATCATGCCTGGAAGAGGGATCATACTCAGATTGCCCTTAGCCACAAGTTACATATCTATAAGAAGAATGGGAGCCAGGGTGTAAAACTCCAGAAGCACAATGGATACATCACAGGTATTGACTAGGCTCTTGTGCACATTCACATTATCCTTTGCAAGAGTCAGAAAGATGGTGTCTGGAAGCTAACCTGGGTGATCTTGAGAATTAATCATCCAGCCACTTTTGTGAAGTAGTTCCCTCAAGAGAAAAATTTGCTGTAGATTCTGAAGCATAGTTCATTTCTGTTACTTGAGTATGAAAATGACAAGTGGGTAAGCAAGCACATTAAAAAGCAAATTCGGCCCGACCAGTGTGGCTCAGTGGTTGAGTGTTGACCCATGCACCAAGAGGCCATCAGTTCGATTTCCGATCATGGCACATGCCCAGGTTTTGTGCCTGATCCCTAGTGGAGGGCATGCAGGAGGTAGCCAATTGATGTTCTCTCTCATTGATGTTTCTCTCTCTCCCTCTCTCTTTCTCTCTTTCTAAATTCAATAAATGAAAAATAAATTTAAAAATAAAGGCAAATTCACCCGGCCAATGTGGCTCAGTGGTTGAGTGTCGACTCATGCACCAAGAGGTCACGGGTTCGATTCCCAGTCAGGGCACATGCCCAGGTTGTGGGCCATATCCCCAGTGGGAAGCATGCAGGAGGCAGCCAGTTAATGTTCTCCCATTAATGTTTCTCTCTCTCTCCCTGTCCCTTCCTTTTTCTCTAAAATCAATAAAAGAAAAAAAAATTTTTTTAATAAATAAAAAGTTAATTCATTCAAAATTTTTCAGTTTGGCTTGGCATCCCAGCAATTTGCTGGCAACAGAGTGGTATGACTGCAAATGAAGGCTGCTTCTGTACACATTAAAGAAGTGGATGAAAAGCCAACCAATATGACACAGCATGATGCATTTTGGTTAGCTCATGTCACAGTTTGGTGGCATTGGAGAATGGATCCCAGGTTCAACTTCTCTGCCAGCGGAGCTCTCCGGCCCGGGTCAGCCATGACAGCTCCCTGTCCATTGTTGATGCCTCAAACATCAGGTTTCATCTGAAAACAGAATTTCTGCTACTCCTGAGAGTGTATTATTTGTCTCAGAGAACAGTGTTGTAACTGCTGGCCATGACTGCTGTCCAGTGCTCTTTAACTAAGACAAGCAAGCATGGCTGCTTGACCTTAATCTCCAAAATAGACATTCCAAAACATACTATCAAGCACAACATGTTAATTATGGAACACTTCCACATAGAAAAATTTATAAAATTTAAACATATTAAATTCACAAAGGAAATCTCAATATTTAAAAGAAACTATTACAAGCCACATTCTTTAATTACAACTTAATGACATACATAAATAAAAGATAGAGATCTTAAAACCTCAAACAATTCTTGGGTCTGGTGTCTGACTTACTAGATCAGTAGCTAATTTTTTTTTTATATCCCCAGTAATATCATGGATCAAGAACACTGAAAATTATAGACTCAGGATCTATAACATTGTTAGCAACTACCAAACTATTTACCC